CCCCCCAGTGCACGAATTTCATGCACCGGGCCTCTAGTAAAAATATATTTTTTAAAAAGATTCTAAACTCTATGTGCATTTTACCAAAATAAAAAAGAGGGAGGGAGAAGGATTTGAACATGTACACCCTTGATCCCACTAAAGCGAGGATGACAAACCAGTTCTATTTCTCTTGGCAACTCCAATCAGTGGGCTGTGCCCGCCGGGGGCACCATCTGGCGGGGGGACAGGCGGGTGGAGGTGGGAATGAGAGATACTTAATGGGATGCAACCATCACTGAAACAGTTGGACTGGCTCACAGCAAGGCTGGCAACTCTGCATGAGGTACTCACACTTTTTCAGGGTTGTCTGCACTGCACACGTCGGCGTGGCCGTTGCACGCACAGCGCCCGCCAACGCTGATGTCCTTGATGCTGTAATAATACTGTGCGACAGAAAACAGACGTGCCGCTTACGGAAGAGCAACAAGCCTTTACCCGTCTCTCAGGCGCATCTATGCTGGCCCTGTTCCGCTCTCTTCCTGCTCCCGTGAGCCCACCTCCACCCCACGGGAGCCACTGTGGGTGTTATTTGTCTTATGAAACAAGTGCATTCCTCAATCAAATTTAACAGCATGATGCTGAATCTGTACCTTTTTAAAAATGAAATGCTTTAAAAGAATGGAGGGAAACTGCCTTGGGAAAAGAATCATACCCTATAGCCTTTTAAAAAGGGATTAAGCCCGGCTGGCATGGCTCAGTGGTTGAGTGCGACCTATGAACCAGGTCAGGTTTGATTCCGGGTCAGGGCACAGGTCTGGGTTGTGGGCTCGATCCCCCGTGTGGGGCCTGCAGGAGGCAGCTGATCAATGATTCTCTCTCATCACTGATGTTTCTATCTCTCTCTCTCCTTCTCCCGTCCTCTCTCTAAAGTCAATAAGAACATATTCTTTAACAACGCTTCTTAATAGAGAAGACTCATTCACTTAAGTGAAGAGAAATATGCTTACACGTGAGTATAAATCTTGGAACCCCTCCACCCCCGCCCCAAAAAAACACCCACAGATAAATAAATAAAGGGTGGTGAGGTCCACTCGTAGCAGGGCTTCAGAATGCCCGGAGGAATGGACGCAGTCCGGCCAGAGTTTATCGGACAGCCCAGCTCTCCCTTGCAGATTCCATCCTCAGACCCAGGACGGGTTCCACATACGGCTGCTCCGAGGGCTGATGGCACAGGAAATGCAGAACACAAGCCACCGCACCCACAAGACAGCCTTCCTGGAAATGCTAAAACTGGAGCAAACCTCACTCTCCTCTCTTCCTTTCCCAGCTCCCTGATGCACTTACCTCTGAGGCCAAGCCCTCTAAGATGCTGGGCATCTCCCATCACCCTTCCACGCCCACTCTCCTCCTTTCTCACCTGCCCTTTGCCCAGGGCTGACCTTTATGGGTTGCAGCTGGGTCTCCTGCTCCCTGGCTTTCTGTTGGGTTTGGCCAATGGGGGACCCTGGCAGGAGATCCGTGGGCGGCAGAAGAATGAGCTCAGGGTATCTGTGCCCAGGAGACGGGGTGCTGTCCTGACACTAGACTGAGGGATGTGCAGGCCAGACACCCCACAGAGGAGCATGGTGCTCACACACCCATGTCTCCTCTATCTGGCCAGGTCACACACCAGCCCTGCATCTGGTGGGGCTACACACAGCTCCGGCCAGTGGCAGTGACCTGTGTGGTTGGGAGCCTGGGGGTCTTCCCCACCCTCTCTCTCTCCCCGCATCTGCTGACCAGATGCAGAGGATCCCGAGGAGGACTCTGGGGCCCTACGGGGTGGCTGCGCCTTTAAATAAAAAGAACCCGGTTCCCTGAGTGATTTTGTGGAGCCGACCCTACCTGCTGAGCACATTCGACAGCAAAAAAGTGAGCCTTGGGGAGTCTGTTATAGAATCAGACTGACACCCGGCCAGCTGTCACCCGGCCTTTCATCTTCTTCGAATGTAATCATTTCTCCTCCACAACCAGACGTCTAAGTTACAGCTAGTCATTCAGACCAGAGCAAGTCTACACCTACACTGTTCCTGGCTGTAAAGGTTACTTGAAAGAGTTCAAGGCAATTAATTTGATAAGTGAAAACAAAAAGAGTTTTTAAAAAATGCTGCCGTAGGCCCTTCAGCATGACTCACCCGCCTGGTGACGGTGGGGTCCCGCTGTGCTTTGGAGATGAGGTGTCCCAGGAGTGTGTTGGTTCGGAGAAAGCGCAAGCGGATGTTTGTTGCCTGGGTGAACTCCCGCAGGGTGTTGGAGAAAGTGAAGTTTCTTGCACCTGGACGACCGTTTATCAAGGACACCACAACCTAAATAACCACACACACACAGGGGAAAGTCCTTTCATCAAAACTTCACTGCAAGTCACTATAAATGACTCACAGGCCCGAAGGCACTAGGTCTGCCTGAGCCACCAGGTGTGTGCAGGTGGTCTTGTGTCTTGTTTACGTCTAAAGCATCATTGCTAGTCCCCCTCCCCTTCGAATTCTGGCAACCTGTCCTTAAACTGGGCTCTCAGGTGCTTCCAAACCCGTTGTTCTGTCGGGGTAGCTGTGGGGCTGTGAGGCTGTGACACGGTGAAAGTATTAGGTTAAAATATATAAAATATATAAACTTCTTGTCAAGCTGCACCAAAGAAACAGCTGACGGAACCTAAACACCTAGAGGAGGTTGACGAGGAAGCCTCTGCATGTAAAGGGGATGAAGTACCTACAAAACCAGGGTTTTATCTTCAAGCTCGAGGAGCTGGACAACCATGGGGGCATGAACCACTCATTGTGAGACGCTGGCTACAGCTGCTCACGAAGACCATTCCACCGAAGAGGGGTGGCCAGCACCCCTGGGAGAAGCGTATTTCACACTCACTTCAAGCTCCGATGGCCTTAGTTTCCCTGGAATTTGTCTGATTTCCCCACCTGTTTCCCGTCTCCTCCAACAACAGTGTGGCTGCCTGCACAAGGGCAAGCGCAGCTCCCATAGACAACAGTCCTTTCCCTCCCCACAGAGGGTGCCCACCTGCCCGAGGAGTCGAGGAGTCGGGGATGCGTGCTGCCCCTCCCCTCTCCTCACTCTCACTCCTGGGATAACGTGTCTGGGAAGCAGTGGGCAGGGCTTCACCTCAATCACCAGCAACCCACTTTCTAAATATTCCTCCAGAATAGAGGGTTCAAAAAGAAAGAAAAAATAAATGAAAAAAACACACAAAACAAAACAGAATAGAGGGTTCAGGACCTACGGGTCTTGAATTTGAAATGCTGACTCCCAGAGGAGATTTAGAGACCCCGAGTAGAATGTCTGATGTCAATTAACCCTCAATAATAAAATAACAACAAGAATTTGCAATCCAACTTGTCAATGATGAGAGAGAATCGTTGACCGGAGTCTTCGATGTGATCCTTGTACCCGTTAGTCCCAAGTACGGGTTCCCGTTGTGGTCTGTGCCAGCTCAGCTCTCCTTGAAAGAGCATTTTCACAGTTCTTTCAAAATGAAGAATTTGATATCCTCGTGTGGGTTTCTGGTCTCATCCTTCACGGCCTCCCAAATCCACTTACCTCGCCATTTTCCAAAGGCACGATCCGGGAGTAGTCCGTGGTGCAGAGCACGTCATCATCTCGGGTGATGGCCGTGTTGGCCGCCCGCCCAAATTGTTGCCAACAGTCTGCTTTAGAATCTAGAAAGGAAACATTTTAATACTGGCAAATAAAATATGATCCCCTTGCGTAAACCTCTGAAGAAATCTTACGTCTCCTTAGGAAAATACGTGAATGGGAAAGAACAGACAAGCACTGAACATTTTAGACAGAAGCTTAGACTGACGTTTTTAGGTCATGAAAGAAAACACCGAGCCATTTCAGGCCACTTGACCTTTAAAAGCAATGTTTGGAGATGCGGTTCTAAGTCCTCCTTATTAAACAAGTCTACCCTCTAAGGAGCATTCACGGAAATCCCAAGGCCTTTGCAAGCCACATTCCTGTCCACCTCAATCCATCAGAGGGCTCATCACACTGACATTCTTCGTTAGCGAAGACGACAGGGTCAAGGTGAGTTAGGTGAAAGGCAGGGTCCCTAAAGGCGAAACTGGGTTCCTAATTCTGCATAAAAGGAAAACGGTTGCTTCTCCCTAAACAGTGGCAGGAACTGTTAACAAACAGGCATTCAGCCTCAGTTCTGCGTGGTTCTTGTGGTGAATGTGCACTACTTGAGAAAAAGGGCTGTTTGGGGGGTAACCTCGAACGTTAAAACTGACCAATCCTTAATTAGCCTGTGAAGAGACAAATTTTACAGTGAAATCCAAGGTCTAAATCTGTGCAGATAATTGAAGCCTGGCAGGCAAGGTTACTTACGAGCAAAATATTGCCAAGGTGAGTAGGTGCTCCCAAAGTCCACCGATCTCTCCAAGACCCAGAGGTCAGGGCGAGGAGAATTGGCAAATTTGATTAAAACATAGGCCACATGGAAGAGCTGAGAAAGCAAAGGAGACACTGTTACTACAGTCGCCTGGCCTGTGCACACCTGGACCGTCATTACGGGATGCTGTTCCCACAGCAGCACCTGCAGCCACTCCTCTCCCAGACCAGAGCCCTGCCTGCCTGCCTCCCGGACACCCTGCCTGTGCAGTTTCTCCAGCAGATCGTGTCCAAACAAAGTGGCCACTTTCCAAATCTGCACAGTAGCCTTTGTCACACCTTAGTCATTACACCCTTGAATTCCAACCAGCTCACCCAGCATCTTGTTTTTCCTTTTTTTCTTGATTTCAGAGAGAAAGGGAGAGGGAGTGAGAGACAGAAACATCAATGATGAGAGAGAATCATTGATCGGCTGCCTCCTGCACGCCCCCAACTGGGGATCGAGCCTGCAACCCAGGCATGTGCCCTGACCGGAATCAAACCTGGTACCCTTCAGTCTGTAGGCCAACACTTTATCCACTGAGCCAAACCGGCTAGGGCCCACCCCGCATCTTAAAGTCCATACCTTCAGAGAAATCTAATGGTTCCCTCAAAAAACCCTATTTATTTAATGATTTATGATGTCATCATTGCTGCGTTCTGGGTGCTATGCTAAGCCCCTCTCAAGCATGCTTGCACTAGGCCTTACAGGAATAAGGAGGAGGAGGAGGAGTGTGACCGGAGAAGGTAGTGTGTCCTCGTCCTGTAGGTGAAGAATCCTGAGCCTCCGTGCATCTCCTCACTGACCACGAGCTCTGCACAGGCCCGATGGGTCCTGCACACGTGACCTCCTTCATCATGGGGAGGAAATACAATGTCAGAAAGCTCCAAGCATCATCATCTCCAAACCTGTGAATGCCCGTCCCAGCAGCCGGGAGCGGCAGTGTGTGGTGTGACATGTCTCCGGGGCTATTTAACGCAGTGGTTCCCCAAGGTGCCCTTTTTGCTCAGAACATCCAAATCCATGAAGAACCCAGAGGCTCAGGAGGCCACGCTCTTGGTTTGCCTCCGTCATGCTCTGAGGGAACGTGTGATCCCGTGGAAGCAGCACAGCAAATACCCCAAACCCAGCAGCGGGCGGAGACCCCACGTGCGCTGCTCCCCTTGTTCTAGAGCCTGCCCCCCGGGCCCAAGTGAAGACGCCCACTGATGGCGCCCACTCAGCATCTGGCACTGATCGCGGACAGGGCATTCCTCTCCAAATGTTCCCTTCCCATGTCCGCCCTGTGTGCCCTGGACCTGGGGGCTGCCTTTCATTCTCCTGAGTCCATTTGCACAGACAGACTCTGCTTTCTGGATCGTCTCTGTGGCCGTGGCACTTGCAGCCGGTTCACGCTGAGCGATCCAGCTCCACAGCTCATCTCTGAAACCTGCTTACTCAACATGACGCTGCTGCAAGGCATGATGGGGTCCAAGGTGGGTTCACAGCCGGCTCATGCGTGTGACACCCACAGTATGGAGCTATTCTCTTCTACTTGATAATTTTAAATTATGTGCCTTTCGCCCGGCTGGCATGGTTCAGTGGTTGAGCGTCAACCTACGAACCAGACGGTCATGGTTTGATTCCTGGTCAGGGCAGCTGCCCAGGTTGCTGGCTCCATCCCCAGTGTGGGGTGTGCAGGAGGCAGCCAATCAGTGATTCTCTCTCATCATTGATGAGGGAGGAAGGAAGGAGGAGGGAGGAAGTGTCCAGCCCTGAGGGGCTGGCTGGCTGGGGAGGAATCGAGCAGAGAGTTTACACAGGGGCTGAGTGAAAGCCACAGACACCTCCTATCCTAAGGGCACAAGCTGGGGCCGCCCAGCGGGTGTCGCCCACCTGCCTGAACACCAGCCCTTTCAGGTCCAGCCCTGCCCAGGCCTGAAACACAGGAATTTGCAAAACAGCTGCCCTGTGCCCAGCTCCCTGCCCGTCTCCCCACAGTCAGGAGGCCACCTTGCCCTCCTGAGCTCCGCCTCACCTGGCCAGGCCCTGCACCCTCTCCCTCAGCCCCAGGCTGACTGCCCACCACTCCGCCCACCTGGGCCTCTGATGAGAGACCAGCCTGAACTGCTGCTGCTGTGCAATTCAGACCCTGAAGCCAAGAGAGGGCCGCAGCTCCTGGCTCCCGGCTCCCTGGCCCTGGCCTGCGCCTCCATCTCCAGGGGAGGCCTGGGACTCTGCATGCTTATAACAGGTGGTGACAGGTGTGCGAGGGCCAGCGAGTCAGCTAGAGGCCTGTGAGAGGCAGGGTGCAGAACCAGCGTTCCCTCCAGTTGTTCTGTGATGCTGAGAAATGCCGAAGGTAAAAAATCTCCTCAATCAAGGTGCTTCAAGCCTCCAGAGAGAGACGCGGGAGTCCTGGGGAGATGGAGCCTGCACTGCCCCATCCAAGGCCACCTGGGCCGGGCCCGGGGGCACAGCTGTAGCTGGGCAGGAGCCCGACACTCCCAACCGGACACCAGCCATGGCCCTGGCGGCTGGCGCAGGGCGGGGGGGGGGGGGGGGGGGGGGGGGAGGGAACCCCC